AGAGTAAAATTTCTGAACATGTCTCAACTAAAATTCATATCAAAAGCTTCATTGCAGTGCAATCATAGTCATACTAAAGAGTGTAAAAGAGAGAACCCCGCTCAAATTGCTATTCCTACACAAAACACAAGCTCCTGCTGCAGTCAACAAATAATATTTATTATATAAGACCACGTAGTCCTACGTCACCATTGGGTACAACCCCATAGCGTTGCCCCTTGTAGTTTTTGAAAATAAACTTTCCAACATTCCAGAGCATACCATCAGGCGTCAGAAATCTTTGAAATTCAATAGAGGAAGAGCATAGATAAAGCCTAAATGTATGCTTCGTTGGCATTTATTCAGTATGTGTATTTTGTTGGCTCTTTACATTTTTACCACTTTAAACATGAATTCAACCATTTTCGTCAGGCATATCAATTGTAATATCTTGCCAATAGCCTTGTGCAACATTTAGATGGAATTCCACTTAAATATCGATTCACTTTGTGGATTAAACCGAACTCTTCCTTAGCAAGTAAAACAGAAGTGGTTAACATCCATGCCTATCACGCCAAAGTCACGAGTTCAAAGCTCATCCCAGACAAGTCACGAGTGACACGAGAGCGTTAAAGTGACCATAATATTTAAAAAGAGGTACCACACGCTAAGATTAGTTCCGGTTGTTCATTTTTGTCGAATTCTGGGTGACATCTATATTTGAACAATTGTTTTCAAAATCTGTGAGTGGAGTGCCTTAAACCAACGCAACATATACCAATGGGCTGGACTGCTTAAAAGATTTCTCAGTGTCTGTCAGTATTTTTGTGGCTTTCGCTCCTACTTTAGGCGCATTAAATGTCACCCGAAAATTAAATTCAATCCAAAACCGTGACAATGAACTTTTAACCCCCGAAATCCACCGTCCACTGACACAGAACAGCGGAAGCCCCTGAGCGCCCATCGTGGTCCGGCATGATTTATAGCTATATTCAACTGCCCGCGTAGTCCGACGTAGATGTCGGACTTCAAAAGTTTTCTCCAGAACGTGATCTCATTCTGCTTCTAAGCGTGCTGGTTGTGTTCTTCCTCTCGAAGCAAAGTTTAATTTTTTATTAGGACCGTACTGGGGGTTTCTGCGTTTCAAAATCCAGACGCGACCAAGGCCGTGTTCTTAATTTCCGTCTCCAGATGTGAGATGTCTGCACAGCAGTTGGCCACGAGGGGGGGGGGACCAAATCTTGGCGAAAAGTTTCCATTTTTATTGCCCTAGATGAGTGATATTATTTCCCGTTCCCTAGGCGAACGAGCGGCCAACGGGGAAAATTACACGCACTTTGGGAATGGGGAAGAAACTTGAATGAACGGGAAGGCTTCTTTTGGTTCCAATAAATGAATCGATTTTGTTTATGGTCTTTTATTATTGGTATCATAATGGGCCGCGTGGCATTTAACGCTTTCGTTGCGATCGATTCTAATGGCGATGACTTGGCTACAAATGGTTCCTTTCAAGTCGAATGGTATCATTAGGAGAGTGCTTGGTTTCACGCCTTAATTCTTTCTATTTCAGTTCTGCTAGCATTTGACAGTTTTCAGAGAATATCATCTCACTTTTCAAGTTTCATTACGTATTCTTCAAACACTCAAAAGATTCCAGTGCAAGAAGCAAACTTTCCAGGAACAATAAATCTTCCTACTGATTTTTCGGTGCCGAAGCATTGAGAGATGAATTTCGAGCACCCATTTGGACGAACAGCAGCACCTTATTCCCATACACCAGAAAGACCAGTAGCAGACACAGACTCGAAACTTCTGGTTTCTCTGGTTCTGGTTGAGTGAAAATCTCACGTGACGTGCAATGAATTATTTACGATTCCATTCCTCCATTCGCCGTCCCCCGCAGAACTTTACTCCAACTTTAGAGGTGCATGCAAAAATGCATCAGTTTTCACGTCTTCTTGAAGCGTGCTGCTCTTTGCTTTTGCGGTCTGGTCGAGTAGAACCGTTTTTTCCGCTCCAAAAGTTCGAAGTCCTAGACAGACGACAAACGACGGATGGGATGGACAAACCGGTCGGTTGGTCGGTGGGTGCCGAATTCGAAGCGAAGTGATGGCTCGAAATCGGTCAGAGGGAAAATTTACTTTCTTCCAGAAGTGGGAAGCGTGATGCTCTCGGCCAAAGCAGCTTACACCACGAAGAAGTGGGAAAATCTTTGCATTTCAAAGGAACCCCATCAGAGCTGTGCAAGTGAAAATTTTCAGCACGTGTGAACCGCAGATTGCAGTTGCGGTTTGTGATCGATTGGGAGGAATAAATCATTTCGGTGGAACGTTTCTTCATTTGGTTTGACGTTTATTCGGAAATCGATAAGTAGATTATGGGTATGATTCTCGATAGAGTATTCAAGCATTATTGTTTCAAATTGGAATTGCTCTTTATACGGAAGATATACAGGTGGTGACAGAACGATTTCAAAATTGATGAAATCCCGATAACCAGATCAAGCTTATTACAAAGCTTATACTACATACAGGATTGTGAGAATTGTAGGGTACTAGCAATGATAAGTATACGGTCACATGTAGATATCTGTACATATCACCCAACATTTGTCAATATTTAGCATTAAGTCACATTGAATTCAAACCAAAACAAACTAAAGTAGTTAGGCCTAACACTAATTTAAATAACAGAAAACAGATTTAAATCACCAACCGTCACCACAATAATACACTACACTGTACGATCGACCCATAAGCTATTGTACACGTAAACCCCATTCAATGATAAGCAAGTTGAAAACAAAGTTACACAATCCCATCAGTACAAAATATAAAGTCAAAGCAACCGGTAGCAAACCCAAATCGTTCCCTTTATTCCGAGAAAATAAAGCAAACTACTCCCTTCCTGTAGTGCAGTGCAATTCGAGTGATCTTACGAAATCCGAAACTGATCTCTGTGGTGGCCAAAGGTGGCAATAAAACGATCACGGAATGGATTGAGTGCGTATATATCGTGCGTGATAATCACAGTGAGTGATTCGTGACGAATAAACCCCACGACGGTCATTAAAGAAGCATTGCGATAGTGAAGTGTGCTATAGTGGCGAATTACACTTTCCCGTGGTTTGGTGTGCCGCTATTGGAAATAGCGGGTAGTAATAACAACAATCAATACGAAATTAACGATTTTACTACTTGACTAGCCTATTGGTCCCAAGCAAATCGACTAACGTACCCCATTCTAGTATAAATTCCAGTACTACACTATGTTTGTTTTGATTCGCCATTAAAGTTTGACAGATAAAATGAGGGGTTAGACAGGTAAAATGAGGGGTTTCCTATGTTTCGAGGGGTGATTCGATTAGCTTGGGACCGAAGATAGTACCAGAGCTGAGCCAAAAAGTTGAGCTCGTTTCTTCGGGACCTTCTGGCCTTAGAGTTACCTCTATGGTAATACCTCCGGTGGCCGGTAGTTAGATCTCCGCGATCGAGCATTGGTCCTTCGAGCCGGATCGGAGGAAGCATCCCAGCCCAAATCGACGCGCGAATAGTCTGGAATTCGCCATGGTGGTAAGTGGTTAGAGGACGTTGGAGTCAGGAGTTTCATCATGTACAGTCGGAGATAGAGAAGTTTGATGCAGCGGAAAACTGCGAGCAACACATGGAGATGCGAACCGATTTCGAGAATCGCTCCAAACGGGAACGGAACCAACCATGTCGTCTGCATTTGCGCCACCTCACAATTCGATGAGTTTCCACCATCGACTACAGAAAAACGATTTGACGAAGTTCTCTGGAGATGAATCGCGCTGGATTTCATTTCGGGACAATTTCCTCTCCATGATCCATAGCAATGATGACATTTCGACGGTCAACAAGTTGCAATACTATCACTAGAAGGAGATGCCAGAAAACCCTTTGAGAGTGCAGATATCCAAGCGGACAATTACGCATCAACTTGGGAAGCACTGATGAAGAGATATGATAACAAGCGGTTCTTGCGGGAAGAGCTATTCAGACGGTTGTTTGAACTGTCGCCGATGAAACGTAAATCAGCTTTGGAGCTGAACACTTTGGTGGATGATTTCCAACGTCATGTGAAGGCTTTGGGGAAACTTGGCGAACCCCTTGTGCATTGGGACACTCCTCTCACATTCATCCTGTGCAGTAAGCTCGATTCATATACGTTACGCGCCTGGGAGCAAGAGACTCGACAGAAAGACGAAGTTAAGTATGATGAATTGATTGAATTCCTAACAGTACGCATGTTGAAGTCAGTATCCAACGATCTGCAGCATCGCTCTCCAGGAGCTGGAACCTATGTGGTTGGTGTCACCCCGAAGAAGGTCTCTACAATCAAGTCCATTGTCAACACTGCTACAAACGAAACCAAGCCGAATGCTGCGCAATGTCATGGGTGCTCGGAGAAGCACCAGCTGTTTCAATGTCAGACGTTTGCTTACCTACCTGTCATGCAACGTCGTGAGTTGATATCGCAGCGAAGTCTATGTTGGAACTGTTTCCGCCCGAACCACCAAGCGAAGGTGTGCAAATCAAAGTTCTCATGCAGATCGTGTCACGTTAAACACCACACGTTGTTGCACGACCAAACTGCACCTCCGAAGGTGTTACCGAATCCTGCACCCAAGACTACTACCACCGGCTCGTCGAATACACCTACGCAGCAACTAATTCTAACCACGTCAGCGAAAGTGGGGACCGTTGGATCATCGAGACCACCCAAAACGAACCTCTCCGTCCAGTCAAGCAGAAGCACGGTCCTCTTGTAAACGGTTGTGCTCAACATCGTCGACAAGCACGGTAAAGAAATATCTATCCGAGCTCTTCTCGATTCTGCTGCGATGTCAAACTTCATTACCAAGAAGCCGGCAAATGCACTTGCCACCCGACAAGCCCCGGTCGATGTCGCAGTAGCCGGTGAAGCAAATCAAGCGGCAAATCGCAGCAACGATTAAATCACGAACCACGTCCTATTCAACCACACTCGAATGCCTGATGATGAAAAAGCGCACAGTCAATCTACCAACGATTGCCATCAATTCCGCATCGTGGAACATACCAAAGGTTCCACTGGCCGATCCAACCTTCAACGTTCCAGGCATGATCGATATTATCATCGGTGGAGAGTGTTATCATGAGATGCACACTGGTAACCGCCTGTCACTCGGTGACGGTTTACCTTTCCTAATCGACACCCTTTTTGGATGGACAGTATCTGGAAAAACTGCCATCAATTCCGCTGTTTCTACACCCGCCTGTTACTTATCGACTGTCGATCGATCCCTCGAAACAACGCTTCAAAGATTCTGGGAGCTCGAAGTTGTCGATCATGGGCTGGCGTATTCCACTGAAGAAAAGCAATGTGAAGAAATCTATCCCAACACTACTACCCGAACTCACTCCGGAAGGTACGTCGTACGCCTTCCTCGGTCCGAAGATCCGCAATTCACCCGTCGTTTCAACAGTCTCGAGCGACGCCTAGAGCAAGATTCCGCCTTAAAGCAAACCTACCACGAGTTTATCGACGAATATCTTCGCCTTGGCCATATGCGGAAACTCACTATTGTTGACGACGATTTGCCACACTGTTACCTACCACACCACCCGGTGTTCAAGCAGAGTAGTACCACCACCAAGGTCCGTGTGGTGTTCGACGCCTCCTGCAAGACCTCTTCCGCGGTATCACTGAACGACACGCTTCTCGTCGGTCCAGTAGTACAACAGCATCTAGTCAACATTACCATTCGCTTGCGCTTCCATGCTATCGCCTTTGTTGCCGACGTGGAAAAGATGTATCGACAAGTTCTTCACTATCCCATTGATCAGCAATTGTTGCGCATCCTGTTTCGTCGTAATCCATGGGATCCACTCAACACATATGGACTCCTCACGGTCACGTACGGTACCGCATCAGCTCCATACTTGGCAACTCGAACCCTGCTACAGTTGGCCAAAGACGAAGGAGACAAGTATCCGGAAGCCGTTCAACCTGTCATCGAAGATTTTTATGTTGATGACCTTCTCTCCGGTGCAGACAACCTGGATACTGCTATCGAAAAACGTCGCCAAATCACGAATATGCTTGCATCAGCTGGATTCCCATTGAGGAAGTGGGCGTCCAACGTTCCGGAAGCTTTAACTGGAATACCACTCGAAGACTTGGCAATCCAACCCCTCTTCGATTTGCAAGATGACCAATCAGTGTCCACGCTTGGACTTGTTTGAGATACAAGAACGGACATGTTGAGATTCAACGTCGAAATGCCACTTCCTGCAGCGGTGCTTACAAAGCGTAAGGTAATATCATACATCGCTAGAATCTTCAATCCGCTAAGCCTCGTCGGCCCGGATATTGCTACTGCTAAGATGTTTATGCAACGGCTCTGGAAGCTGAAAGGCGAGGATAATAAACCCTACCAGTGGGACAGACCTCTTCCAACGAAACTGCAAGAAGAATGAAAAAGATATCATGCCACGCTGGACATCCTCTCGGAACTACGAATTCCTCGTTTCGTTTCTTTCGCCGATGCACCCAGAATTCAGCTTCATTTGTTCTCCGATGCGTCAGAGTTGGCATACGGCGCCTGTTGTTACGTTCGTTCTGAGAATAATGATCGTATCCACGTGCAAGTCAAAGGTTGCTCCACTCGCCACTAAACATTCCATCTGAGCTCAGCACTGCTGTGCTATCCACCAGACCCTTCCAGAAGGTAGAACAATCGATACGAGCCACGTTTTATGTTTTCTCCTGGACAGATTCTACCACAGTTCTCCAATGGCTCAATTCTACACTGAATCGCTGGAAAACATTCGTGGCTAATCGAGTGTCAACAATCCAGTCAAACACAGAAGGATATTCTTGGAAGCACGTTCCCGGAAGTGACAATCCCGCTGATGAATTATCGCGAGGCTTGACGCCTATTGATCTCCGTAACCAATCTCGATGGTGGAACGGACCATCGTGGCTCTCACAACCTCCGAGTCATTGGCCTTACGCAAGCCTACCAGATGAAGAATACCCATCGGTCGCCGAAAAAGCACGCAAGGTTACACTAGTGACTTTGCATAACGAACAACCCCAATGTGACTTAATGCTAAATATTTACAAATGTTGGGTGATATGTACAGATATTTACATGTGACCGTATACTTATCAAGCAAAATTTCGTCCAACTTTAACGATTTTTATTCTTCAAGAAGTATGCGACTGGAAAACTAGTCAAGTTTCATGGTATTGCGATGGAATTGACCATGGCTACCGGATACCGGAGATATTCCGGGTTGTAGTTATGTTTATTTCTGTTGATTTTAATAGTACATTGATTTATCATTTTAATTGATTAGCCTACTTGGCTCTTCATCTTTGTTTAATTTGATATTCTAATTTAATATTTGCGTTTTTCAACTTGTTTACAGAATATCCCTTTGGGGATGTGTTTTATTTGAATTGAAAAAAGTGATAACCTACCTAACTACGAGTATAACTTAACCTAACGTGCTAGATCACGTATGATCTGATGATTTGATCTCAGACAGGCGTCTCTGAACCTTTCCAGAATGAATACTCTCCGTTCTTCTAATGTCTAAATTCCAGCCAGGAGGTGGATCTCAGAATTTCTAGTCCGCGGGGGACTGTTTAGGACCAACCTAAGGATCTTGTTCTGGATCCTTTGGAGTTTAAGGTGATGGCATTTGGCGCAACTCTCCCAGATAGGCATCCCCGTATTCTATTACGGGAAGGATGATTTGTTTGTAGACAGCAAGCTTATTTTTCAGGGATCGAGTAGACCTCCTGTTGATGAGTGGATACAGTGATCTTATCAAGATGTTACACTTTGTTTTGGTTTTGTCAACGTGCTTCCTGAAAATCAGCTTGCTGTCTAGTGTTTAGCCGAGGTAGACTACCTCTTTCGACCATTCCACCACTGTGCCGTTCAGGCAGATCTTATTATTCATCGACGGAACAATTCTGGGAGATTTAGAGTGTGGAAAGATGATGACCTGGGTCTTTGCCGCGTTGATACGGATCTTCCAGCTGTTGAAATATTCAGACAGGACGTCCAGGCCTCTCTGAAGTTTGGCAGTCAGAGCTCCGATGACCCTACCCTTGTAGACGATGGATGTGTCATCTGCGAACAGAGGCAACGATCCACCATCAGGGAGAGCCAGCATATCGGAGGTGAACAGGTTGAATAGAATGGGGCCAAGGATGCTTCCTTGTAGAACCCCAGCACCAGTGTTGAAAGCATCCGATGAGATGCCATTCAGAGAGACTCGGTCTCGCCCTGTTCGATAGATAGTTGTTAATTATCTTCACTAAGAAGATTGGAAGACCATACTGCTGCAATTTGAACACCAGGCCATCATGCCAGACATTGTCGAACGCTTTTTCAACGTCCAATAACGCCATGGCAGCTGTTTTCGAAACATACGTGTTCCGAATGTTTGTTACTCGAGTCAGCTGGTGGACGGTCGAACGACCTTTCCGAAAACCAAACTGTTCCTCGAGTAACAAGTTGTATTCTTCGGCAGATGTTAGGAGCCGGTGTTAGACTGCTATTTCGAATAGTTTTGATAACCCTGAGAGAAGGCTAATTGGTCGATAACTGAAAAAGCATATCGCCAGCTTGCTGATGCCCATGCTTCACCTATTTCGATTGTCCATATCGAGTGGTACATTTCCATCTTGTTGGAAATTCGCACATATGTTTCCTATCCACAAAAAGGGCAGCAAACGGGATGTGGACAATTATCGTGGAATTACGTCGTTGAGCGCAGTTTCGAAGTTATTCGAGTTAGTCATCATGGAGCCTCTACTCTCTCATTGTAAGCAGTATCTAAGTGGTGATCAACACGGCTTCACTTCCGGTCGTTCTACTTCCACAAATCTGCTGTGTTTGACATCGTATCTTACGGAAAGCATGACAGAGAGGACTCAAACAGACGTCATATACACCGACTTGTCAGCTGCCTTCGATAAGCTAAACCATGCCATCGCGATTGCCAAGTTGCATAGACTTGGGGTCAGCGGCAACCTCTTGCGATGGTTTCGTTCATATCTCACTGATCGGCAACTGATGGTTGCCATTGGTGACAACCGGTCCAATATATATCTAGCTACGTCAGGAATACCTCAAGGAAGTCACCTGGGACCTTTGATTTTCTTACTCTACTTCAATGACGTGAACTTGGTCATCGAAGGTCCACGACTATCATATGCAGACGATCTTAAAATCTACCTACGAATCCACTCGATTGATGACTGTCACTTCCTTCAACGTCAGTTCGAAGCCTTTGCCAGCTGGTGTAATTTGAACCGAATGGTGGTTAACCCCACTAAGTGTTCAGTGATCACTTTTACTCGGAAGAAAGAACCAATCACATTTGAATACAAACTTATCGGCACTGTAATCGACCGTGTGAACCATGTGAAAGATCTGGGTGTTATTCTAGATTCTCAACTTACGTACAAGCAGCACATCTCGTACGTTGTCGACAAGGCGTCTAGGACGTTGGGATTTATCTTCAGGATAGCAAAGAATTTCTCCGATATCTACTGTTTGAAGTCACTGTACTGTTCCTTAGTGCGATCCATTCTGGAATATTGTTCTGTGGTCTGGAGTCCAAACTACAACAATGGTGCTGAGAGAGTTGAGTCCGTTCAACGCCGTTTTCTTCGATTCGCTCTGCGGAAGCTGCCTTGGAGAGACCCATTTCATCTGCCCAGCTATGAAAGTCGTTGCCAGCTGATTGATCTGGAGCCTCTCCGAACTAGAAGAGACACCTCTAGGGCCCTGTTCATTGCGGACACTTTACAAGGTAGAATTGATTGCAGTGCAATCTTGGGGCAAGTCAACATTAACGTCCAACCCCGTGCGCTACGTAACAACGTTATGCTGAGATTGCCACTTCAGCGCACAAACTATGGCATGAACGGTGCAATAGGTGGGCTGCAACGAGTGTTCAATCGAGTCTCGGGCATCTTCGATTTCCATATGCCTCGACAGCTGCTACGAAGATACTTCTCATCGTTCTTTTCTGGCACAGTTAACCGTGAATGATTGTGTGTTTTATTTATGTATTTTATTCTTAGTTTTTATTTTTTGATTTGATTTTTACCTATATAAGTTACTTAAATCATCATTGGGGCTTTACACAGCCTGTTGATGCAGACAAATAAATAAATAAACTTGAAGGAGAGGACGGATCCTTCCCAGGTTTCCGGATGGGTATGACTTTAGCTGACTTCCAGCACGAGGGGAAGTAGCCAAGTTTAAAGCACTGATTAAAAACCAATGCCAGATCGTTGTAGAATCTGTAACTCAAGTGTTTGAGTTCCAGATTCAGGATGTTGTCGAAACCTGGGGCCTTCATGTTTTTAGATGATTTGATATAGGCCAACAGTTCTTCAGCTGAAATCTCGGATTCCTCGGAAAAAATATTTAGAATCTGATGCAGGTTGGTTGCATTTTCAGCAACCTCAGCTTCGTGAGGGCTGACGATGTTTTGTCCGAGATGATGGGAGCTGACGAAGTGTTGACCTATCGCGACAGTCTTGGCTTATTTTTAAGAATTTTGGTTAGTTTCCAAAAGGGCTTTGCACAATCTGGGAGAGAGCGGATCCTGTTAGCTAAGTCCTGATTTCTGAGGTCCACTATCCTGGCTTGGATGGTTTTTGTTAGGCGATTACAGTGGGTCTTGAGGACAGGCAGACCAGAGCGTTGGTACTGCCTTCGGATGGTGCTACGGAGTCTAATGAGATCTTGTGAGATCTGTCAAGGTTCAGAGTTTTGCTCATCTGTCTGGATACTGGCACGTGTTGTTCCCTGGCCCGGGATATCGTCTCCTCGATGGAGGAGTCGACACAGTGTTGGACTGATCCCAGCTGACACGATGATAGTTGCGTCGGGAAGCTTGGAATCGGTTGACGGATGGCCCCATTTCGGCCACCACCGGATAGTGGTCCGAGCTCAGCTCCTGGTGGATGTCGATGGTGGAGTGAACGCCAGACTGGCTCAAGCGGGTGGGAGCGTCCGGCGCCAGGATGGTGTAGTGAGTCTCTTGCAGGTCGTCGTTCAGGATGGTACCATTTTGATTCCGCCTTTGGTTGCCCCAAGCTTGATGTTTGGCGTTCAGGTCGCCAGCGATGATGAATTTATTACGGCGTCGTGTTATCTTGACAATATCCCTCCGCAGATCTGCCGCGGATCCATCCCTGGCGTTTG